GGGGGGAGCCGCTTTGTTTCTTTCGTTTCGCAGCCCGGGCCTCTCGGCGGGCGGGCGGGCGGCTGGGGCCGGGCCGGGCCTCGGCGTTGGGGCGGTGGGTCCGTCGGGGGTCCCGGAGGGGGCCGGGGCCAGGCGGTGTCGGTCCGTCCGTCCGGTGCCGCGTCCTTTGTTACGTGCCGGCGGTGACATCACCGTCTGGCGTTGGGCTGCTGGGGTGACGCTCCGGGACGGGGACGGCTTTGGCTTTGTCCGGGCGCCTTCGCCATCGCCCGGGCTCCGCTCCCGTATTTTTAGCAGCATCTGATCCCCAGTAAGTAACAGGATCCCGTGTCCCTCGGACCGGTGGGGCACCCGCAGGGAGGGGTTTCCCATCGCTGGGTGGGTTTGTTGTTCCCCCCCACCTTCTGTCTCTGTGAGAATCTGTTAATTTACGTCTTGATGACGAAATCGAGGGGAAAAAAAAAATAATGGCCAGGTGTTTTCGTTTCCTGAGGGTGGAGGGTAAGGCCAGTGTGGAGTGGGGAAGAGCTGAACTTGTGGTTGCACTTGGCCTCCGTCCCCTGTATAGAAATGTGTATTGCCCCAGACAAGCCATCTACAGTCAGAGGTTGTACAGCACTAAAAAACGAGGGGGGGGGGGGGGAATAAAATGCTTCCAGTGGTCTAACTGCACGTTTTATGCAAGTTCTCAAAGTGTTTTCCTGTCTGAGATGCACTAAAAAAGGGGGGGGGGGGGTGGGAATAAAATGCTTCCAGTGGTCTAACTGCACGTTTTATGCAAGTTCTCAAAGTGTTTTCCTGTCTGAGATAACTGGTTATCTTCCAGAGAAATCTATAGCGATGGCAGCTGGGCCACAGATTCCGGGGGGTGTTGGGAGCGCTCCGTTCCCTGGGGTGGGAGTCACTCGGTGCTTGCAGGCCTTGACGTATAATTAACAAAAATTGCAGGAAGCGTTTAACTGGCCAGACGTGTCATGTACAGGTGCTTTAACAAGTTCAAGAACAACACAGCCCTTGCCAGGAAGCCCCCTCCTCAAGTGCTGAAGAGGAGCCCTTGCTGGTGCAGAGGAGCAGCCTTGGGGCCTGGTGGTTTTGTTTGGGTACAAAAGCTTAGTATTAGGATAAATTTCCAGATGTGGGGGTTTGTGGTTTTGTGTTGTGTTTTTTTTTTTTTTTTTCCTGACTTCTAAACTATGTCTGCTGAAGGCCAATAAATAGAAAGTGCTTGGTGGCCAATTTAAGTTTTTTTAAAGGTTGCGTTGCGAATTAAAGCCTGAATTGTCCCTGTGGTTTAGGAATGCATTGTATTTTTGTTAAATCAGTGTATGAAGTTTGGCTGTTCGTACTATTTGTTGCATTTACATCTGTGGCTCTAGAAAGAGTTGTGGAGGTAGTCTTTTTTTTTCCCCCCTTTGAAAACAACCAGTTAGCTCTTATAAGAGTCACAAATGGAGTATATGCCCTATGCAGGCCTTCTCTTGTGGGTTTCATTGTAGATAAGTACTCTTCCTTTGTCGCTGTTTTTTTTAATTATTTTTTTCTTGATGAAGAATTTCTTGTTCATAAGCGTGGATGGTTGACTGAGACCACAGTAGACAGTAAAATAAATGAACCTACAGGTGTCTTATTATCGGGCGAGCATATTCATAGCAAAACTTCCCCCACTTGAACAGAGCCGTGTAGCATCAGGTGATGTGCCTGCAGGTGCTTGGCTGTCTCGAACATTGAACAGTCTGTGCTGAGAGCACCTCCACTCATCCCAGCAATAGCATTTTGTGTCTCATATAGTCAAAATTCAAAGCTACTGTTTTGTTGACAGATTTTGAACAATGGTGTGTGGTATTTTTTTATTTTTTTTTTAAAAAGGCCCTACCTACAGTATTATGCAGCATTTCATGCACTTTAAGGTTGAGGGGATTTCGAATTTTGAATCGTTTGGAGTTTACAGTGTGAACGATTTCTTATGCTCCATTATTGCTGTTGTGCTAGCAGTAGGTCACTCTCATTTTAACTTTCAAGAGGCAGCGTGGATTCAGTGCTACAAATGGGAATTTAGGAGTTTTGTCCTTTGGTGTGTTAATTATTTCTTTCACAGTGTCTTACCCGGAATTGGAGTGTATATGAGAATATGTAGACCTGAGGAAGGAAAGCAAGGGAGAGGATAAAATGAGTTTGAAATCTAGCTTGTGGCAACTAGCACTGTCTGCAAGAAACTAGGAGATGAACAATTAAAAACCTAGCTACTGAAATTTCAGCTGTAAAATGGATGTATTCTAGGAGAGAATAAAATCTGGTATATTTGCTTCTCTTGGGTTTGCAGCGATGATATGTCAGCTTCCTGAAGAGGTCTTGCAAGGTACGCAAACCAGGAGAAGGAAACTTGCTGGGTGAAGATACGGAGTTGTACAAAATTACTTCTGTGTCTCTTATACAGATGTTAGTTACTTGGACATTTAAAATACATTTTTTTGGGTTCTGACAGGATTGTGCCATGGGAATCTTGCTAAGCCGTAATTTTTATTTAGCTACTTGTTTTTAACCACAAAATGCGTCCTCAATAATCATGTCAGTATTGCATGTCAAATTTCTTTTATCAGCAAGTGCTGTTGAATGGGCTCTGTAAAAAATCCTGCTTCCAAAAGTGAGAATGAGAATCGGATTGGCAGTATGGACACAGGGAGTACCGGGGAACGTAACTTCCATTCAGAGGCTCTGCATATATTTGTCTCTACTCTTGGTTTCTGTGGCAGGTCATGTTTGAAGGGCTTCAGAAAGGAAGCATCTTTTTAAGCAGGTATCGGAGTTAATGAGAACATAGCCCATTAAAACATCAGCCATTTTCCAGTGCATCAAGCTTAACGGCTAACGTGGGAAATAATTAAAACCCACCCAAAAAAGACTGTATGCATGTGTGTGGGGGAAAGGAAGTGATTTCAAGAGCGGACCAACTTTTTCATAGACAGATGCTAATTTTGGATGCCTCCATTTTAGAACCCAGAAATTACAACTGTTTTTCTAAATGCTAAGCACATGCCACTCCATTTTTAACCAGTGAATCTGTGATTAGGAACGAGTTAGCTTTGGTTTTGTTTTTTCTCAAGTCCTCAAAATTGAGTGTGCTTTCAAGTTTGTTTTCCTTTTCTGTGTATGACTTCTTCGCCATCTGTTGGCAATATGCCTTCTGCTGTTTTTCCCTACAAGTTCACTGTTTTTTCCAGTTTCTCTTACTTCTAGTAGTCCTTCTCAAAGACTTTATTTTGCAGACCAGATGTGCTACTTCTCTTCATCCTTGTCTCCTATTTCTTTTCTTAAATAGTTCCTTAATAGTTGCAGGAAATAATTTGCCAGTTTATTAAAGTTTGGAATTTTATGTAGTAAAGTAAAGAATACTTCTTTTTTCTATTAAGTTTCTAAGAAGTACTGCTGTGGACAAAGTATGCTGCAGTCTTCTGAAGAAAGATGTATACCACTCGCTAAATTAATAAGCTAAAAGCATGATAAATAAGTGCAGGTACTGAACTCATAAAAGCATATTTGAAATGTTGATGTGGCAGATAGACTAATAAAATACTTTACCTCTTTACTTGAAGAGGTCCAAAGTGCACTCTGGTACTTGGTGCCACCCTGTGTTGTCTTACAGGCCCGGATAAAATGTTTCAGTGGATCTAGTGGATTTTTTTTTTTTTTCTAAATTTTATTTTATTTTATTTGGAGGGATTAATTTAAAAGCTTTTGACCTGGATACTCCTTTTGATGAGGCCGTAGGCACAAAAATGAGCCGAGAGATCACAAACATGAGCTTAACCCATGTCATGCTCCCATAATCTTCCAAAAGCTGTTGG